CAGATTAGGACTGCTGAGGTCTTGTGGACTGAGCGATTATTGGTTGTTACCCCTTTCCCATCCTCAGTGAGAGACAGCCACCATGGACTACTATGAATGCTTAAGGGCTGAGTAACTACTGGGTTCTCGGGTCTCAGGTGTGATTTAGCTGTTATTACTTTTTTTTTTAACTGATGTGTGTGTGTGTGTGTGTGTGTGTGTGTGTGTGTGTGTGTGAGATGTGTCCCACTGGTTCTATTCCTCTAGAGAACCATGACTAACACACTTTCCCCTAATTTTTTGAAGGATCAGTTTAAACAAAGAAAGGAGAGTTTTTTAGCCCACAGCCTCAGGTAAACACGTTCAGGACCCACCTTGAACGTATCTGGCCCACCTAGAGTGGCAAGGAGTCCCAGCTTGTGGGAGAAAAAGGCTCTGGGGACTTTGCCTCAGGTCAGGGAAGTGAGGAAGACGTTGGAAACTTGCCATCTTTGCTGTCCATCAGTGGCCCCTTTCCTCGTCTGTCTGACAGGGATCTGTCCAGCCCCTCGTCTGTCATACAGCTTGTGTCTTTTCTGGTTCCTTTCCTTTTTCTTCCCGTTACCCCAAACTCCCCTTTCACCTTGCCTGGTATATAGGGCCTTGAAGACTCAGCTTCCTGAGAGACGAGACTGGCCTACAGTGTCTGAGGACGTATCTTTATCCCTTTCTTTTTAGTCTATCTTCAATTAAGACTTCCCCACTCTTCATTTTATTTATTTATTTGCCTGTACCATTTCCCCTCCTCTGGAACTTCTCCCTTTCCTGCTTCCTATCTAAACTAACAACCTAATACTCATCATTGATCCCCCCGTGACTTCTCGCTGCCTTTTCTTCATTTTCCCCAGCTAGATCCACAGTCACCAAGAGACGAGCACACACAGTACTGTTGGTTTCCCTTTTCCACCAGTTAGAAGTCAGTTCGCGGTCCAAAAGAAAGCACCACCAATCTCATGAAAGCCTCTTGGTCGGGCAAAGCTTGATTTGTAAGGGCGAACTGCTCACAGCTGTTCAAGAACAAACCCACAGAGCAAGAAACTCAACAGCCTTTATCTTAATGCAAGAGTGCTGTGTCCTTCCCCTGCTGGCTGAGCTCCAACCTCAGCCTGTCACAGGTTGCTTAGTTTGAGAAGAACTGGTACAGAGGAAATGAAGGAAAGCGAGCCTGGGCAGGCATCTGGAGATCCAAGCATGCAGCAGGGCCTGTGGATAAACAAAAGTTTTGCCAGGTAGGGGGTAGGAAAAGATTTAAATTCCTTGTCTTAAACAAAAGCTTCACGGGGTCTGACAGAAAGACTAATATTTAATGTTCCTTCCACACCGAGAACACTTGGTACTGAAGGAGCGACTGTGAGGTACAAACACTTACCCTGTTTTCAAGGTGGGCTTACTGAAGCATTGCGATTTTTATTGGAAATAGTTCTCAAGCCTTGGGGAGTTCTGGGGAAAGAGCCTTAAAGGCCAGCTTAAAAGGAAAAGGTCACCTCAACACTTCTGAAAGAAGGAAAGTTACCTGAGTTAAAACAACAAAAAACGGAATCAACGATCTGATCCTGACTGGATGAACTCAGTGTGAAACACCAGTAACATGAAAAACCATGACAGCATGTCTCCTCCAAAAACTTCTAACATCCAGTAACCTCTAGGAAGAACCATTTAAATGAAAATCCAAACCAAAAAAATAAAAATAAAAAATAAAAAACAACTTAAATATGCTCAAAGAAGACACAAACTCCCAGATGAATTCTTTTCTTCCCCGACATAATGTTTTTATTAATTATTTGGGAATTTCATGCAATTCACCTTGATCACACTTGCTTCCCATTCCTCCCAGGTTCACCCTCCCACACTTGTGCCCACCCCCAAGAAAAACCAAGTCCAATTTGTGTTGTCCATGGTGTGTCTGAAATGTACTACGAACCAGCATGCAGAATCTCTGGGACAACATGAACTGTGGGACTAGAAGGAAAAGATTTTCGCACAAAAGGTGTAGAAAATACTTTCCATGAATACATAGAAGAAAATTTCCCAAAGCTAGGGAAAGACATGCCCATCCAAATAGAAGAAACACCCAGAACACCAACTAGAACCAGAAAATAAATATCATATCACTGAATACACAGAACAAAGAAAGTATGTTGTAAGCTGTAGAGAGAAAGACAAAAATCACATCTAATGGCAATTAATGGAGACTCATGGTTGGTCAAAGTGTTAAGAACAGGTGAATATCAAGTGCCCAGTCCTGAATGGGCCACCTATATCATCCTCTCCAAGGCTCAGAAACCATCAAGAAAGAGTGGGGAGAAAAGAATGTAACAGCTGGATGACGATGATGATGATAATGATGATGATGATGATGATGATGATGGCGGCGGCCATGTAATGCTGTCTTACAGACACAACAAGGCCATGGCATGCCTGAACTCACAACATCCGTGGTTGCTTGCTAGGGACTGACTGCACAAGACTGAGTCCATAAACATTCAGTCACAGATAGGGGAGAGGCTCATGAGACACCCTCCAAGGGGAGCTAACTGTAGGCAATGGCTTGCTGGAGCAGTCATTGTCTTCAGTGACGTAGCCGGTGTGAGTTACTTGTGCTCCAGTAGATAGCTTTATATCCACGCCCACATGAGCAGCCCTGTTGAAACCCGGTGGGTTACAAAGTGCAAACAAAAACAAAATTAAACTAAATACATGAAAGTGCCTGGTGGTCGGAAGGCGGAAATGGTGGGGGTATGAAGAGAACAAGAGAGAGTGAAGGGGGGGTGAGTGAGATGGCTCCACAGATTAGGAGCCTCCATCAAGCTGGATTATCTGAGTTAATCCCAGGGAGCCACACAGTAGAAGGGGAAAGCCAACTCCTGCAAAGTGCTGCCCTCTGATCTACACACACACACCATGGCACAAGTCCATGTGTGTGTGAGCACATGTGTGTGCAAAAACACACATTAAATAAATGAATAAATTGTAAGTTTAAAAAAGAGAGGGTGGAGGCGTGAGTGTGATCAGAATGTAGGGTGTGTGTGTGTGGGTGGGTGGGTGTGTGTTTATGGCATTGTCAAAGAAGAAACTAATCTTAAAAGCTACTTTTAGAGTTTTTTTTTAAGGTGCATATGGTGTCGGGGAGATACATGATTGTGGCTGCAGGTGGCCAAAGAAGCCAAAGACATCAGGTTCTCCCTGGAGATGGAATTACAGTAGGTTGTGAGCTGCCTTTTATCGGTATTGGGAACTGAACTCAGGTGCTATGCAAAGCAGGACACACTCCCGACCACTGAGTCGTTTCTCCAGCCTCCTTAAAGCATTTAAAAACATGTTTCTGTTATTGTTGTTTATTTTTTGTTTCAAGACCCAGTTCCAGGTAACCAGAGCTGGCCCTTGTCAGTATCCTTAGTGCTAGGATCACAGGAATGAGCCAGCATGCTTAGTTCTATATTAACCTTTGAGTGATCATGACTGCGGATGTCATTAGTTACTCACCTTGTTTCTGTGACCAAAAACCCAGGAAGAATCAGTTTAATGGAGGAAGGGTTTAATTTGACTCACAACTTAAGTCTGTCACAGCTTCAGTCATTATGCCAGGGAGTAATCATGGCAGGAGTTATAATTATCTCAATCAGAAATCATAGAACAAGCAAGAAGTGGAGCTGTGTATAAAACCTCAAGACCCCCTTGCAGTGACCCACTTTTTCTAGCAAATCTCCACCTCCTGAAGGTTCCACAACTTCCCCAAACAGTCCCACCAGCTGGGGCCGAAGTATTTTAAACACTCAAGTCTATGGGGAAACACTCAAACCACAGTGGTTAAATCATGTATAAACACCTCCCTCTGTGGTTATTGGTCAAAGAGAACGTGATGGTGTACACCTGCATCCCAGCACTTAGGAGGTGGATGCAAAGAGATACTGAGTCCCAGGCAAGCATCAAGACACTATCTGAAAAAGAACAAACAAAAACACCTCTTTGAATAAAAGTGTACTGTTGTAACTATATTAATCTGGGAATAATGCATAATAAATATGCAGAATTGATTAGAAGAAATAAGGCCAGAGGCGCAGAGTCCCAGTGCAGCCCTCCATGAGGTGATGCGGTGCATCAGTCCTGTAGTGCACACCAGTGGTGAGCAGCCAAGAGACTCAAATGCAAATACCCTACATTTCTTCTTCTTCTTCTTCTTCTTCTTCTTCTTCTTCTTCTTCTTCTTCTTCTTCTTCTTCTTCTTCTTCTTCTTCTTCTTTTTCTTCTTCTTCTTTTTCTTCTTCTTCTTCTTCTTCTTCTTCTTCTTCTTCTTCTTCTTCTTCTTCTTCATTTTCTTCTTCTTCTTCTCCTTCTCCTTCTCCTTCTCCTCCTTCTCCTTCTCCTTCTCCTTCTTCTTCTTCTTTATGCTTTTGGGTCTTTTCACACACAGTTCTCCTTTTAAAGGTCCTTACCCCTCTATTAATCTAATTAATTATGCCTCAAAATGCAGCTCAACTTGGGTGGGTGTCTTTAAATAACTCTTGTCCCCTTTAGTGTGAACCACACCATGAATGCTATTTGTAGTTATTAATTCATAACATACTTATTGATTTACCTGACTATCTTTCAGTAGACTGTAAACTCCTAAATGTGCGTAGCCTAGTATCTGGCTCCATAGACACATATACAAACAAATGATGTATTCATGTGTACTTGCAGGAACTCACATTGCCAAGTATGAGGTAACTATTATACAAATATACAAAGTATTTTTTTTGTTGTTAAGAAATTGAAATCAAAGAGCTTTAAAACAACCTGAAACTCCAGTCAAAAAGGAAGTTCGTTAAAACCCCTTAGCAAGAGAACAGGTCCTTAAAACTGAGTTTTGAGTCTACTTGTTTCTTAAGTTGAGTTAATTCTTCCTCTTCGCTGACATCGAAACATTCAAAGCTTGCTTGGAGGTGGAGTCTCACTCCACTGTACTTCTGCAAAATCTAAGGTTTCTCTTTCATGGGCTTAAGAGTCCTTCTTGCCCTGCCCCACCTAGACAGCTGTGACTGGCTTGGAGGAGAAAAGCTAACAAAACATTCAGAACCTGGGACTGATCCAGTAGGAACACAGCAAAAACACCTGGTAAGAGAGGCACTTCAGGGCCCTGCCAGGCAGTGGAGCTGGCTGGGAGATGCTGGTAAGAGAGGCACTTGAGGGCCCTGCCAGGCAGTGGAGCTGGCTGGGAGATGCTGTTGGGGAGGAAGGGTAAACATGTTAGACGGGATTACAGGGGGAAGTGTTGTACATATGAACACAGGTCAAAGAGAAGGACGAGCTATGCCAGTCAGGGCTGTGTGCTCATCCCCTGTCTTCCTCACTGGATTTCAGAGTTGTCATAGAATTACGAGACTGGCTTTCTCTCTTTCTTAAGACTGTTACATCTTTTTTTTTTTGTTTTTTTGTTTTTTTTTTTTTGGTTTTTCGAGACAGGGTTTCTCTGTGCAGCTTTGCGCCTTTCCTGGAACTCACTTGGTAGTCCAGGCTGGCCTCGAACTCATAGAGATCCGCCTGGCTCTGCCTCCCGAGTGCTGGGATTAAAGGCGTGCGCCACCACCGCCCGGCGACTGTTACATCTTAAAAGGAAGAAAAAACCCAACAAACTGGTCATGATTTGTTCGTTCTTAAAGCTTCTTCTGTTAGCACGATCTTCCTTCTTCCTACACAGAAAAAAATGGCCGTAGACCTTCGGCGATCCTTTCCTCTCCTACTGCTGCTGGGGCTGTGGGAGCCAGTGTGTCCACTTGGGACGCAGCCTAAGGGTCTCACCAAGGCTCGCTGGTTTGAAATTCAGCATGTACAGATAAGTCCTCAGCAGTGCAACACAGCAATGCGTGGTGTCAACAATTACACCCGGCACTGTAAGCAGAAAAACACCTTTCTGCACGAATCCTTTGAGAACGTGGCTGCTACCTGCGCTTTGCCCAACATCACCTGCAAGAACGGTCGAAGGAACTGCCACGTGAGTGCAAAGCCTGTCAGCATGATTGACTGTGCGCACACTGGGGAAACCTATCCACACTGTCGCTACAGAGGTGCTGTGCAGTACAAATACTTCATTGTGGCCTGTGAGCGTCCCAAGAAGGATGACCCCCCTTACCAGCTGGTTCCTGTGCACTTAGATGAGATTGTCTAAGGCTTAGGGCACGTGTCTTCTGGTTGACACAGGTTCTCTTACTGTTTATTCCCACTTCGCCTTTTCCTCCTACCGAGAAAAGGAAGGCACTGAAAGAATTAGAAAGCCTAAGCTATCAGAAGAGTCAAGGCAAAAAGAAATAAGGTACGTGGGTTCCGATGTAACTCAGTAACTGAACACTTGCTTAGTGCACAAAGGCCCCTGGGTTCCATCACTGGTCCCCACCCCCCCAAAAAAGAAGAAAAAAAAGTCCAAGCAGCTGAACAATGTATCCTGTTATGTTTTTGGATCAAGCTTTATTGTACTATGCTCATAGAAATAAAATCATTTCCTTTTTCAGTATGATGAGTATAAATTTTGCTGGTTTATTTGTTTGTTTTGTTTTGGTGGTAGTGGCTTGGGTTGTTTGTTTGTTTGTTTGTTTGTTTGACAGCATCTGGTTTGGTCAGGCTGGATTCAACACCATGTAGTCAAGGATGGTTATCAACTCATTTATTAAATTAGAAAAAACCTTTCACAATTACAGTCAATTTCACTCCCTGGTGTCTTCTCTTATTCTCCCACACTTCTTCCAGCTAGTCTCCCTTCCTTCTGCTCTGCAAGGTTCATGCTCCCACACCGGGAAAGGAGGGGGGGTCACTGGAAGCCAGGAGCCTGGAGAGCTATTGAGGACTCAGAGTCAGTTTTCACTCCAGCCTAAAGCTGTAAAGCCACCAGGGAGGCGGCCATAGCAGGCACCAGGCACACACTGGCTGCACACAAGCCATGTGGAAGTTAAGTAGGCACACAGACCTAAAGGTACACACAGCCAAGCATGTATAAAGGTGGAGGTTCTAAGCTCAAACCTCTGACCTCAAGGCTGTGTTTATACAGTAGTCTTAGTCAGTGTTCTATTGCTGTGATGAGACACCATGACCATAGCAATTCTTTTTTTTTTTTAATAATTATTTTATGTAGAATAAGTAACCATTTTTTAAAAAAGGTTTATTCTACATACAGCATTTTTCCTACATGTATGTCTACATGCCAGAAGAGGGCCCCAGATCTCATTACAGATGGTTGTGAGCCACCATGTGGTTGCTGGGAATTGAACTCAGGACCTCTGAAAGAACAGCCAGTGCTCTTAACCTCTGAGTCATCTCTCCAGGCCCTGGGCAATGCTTGTAAGAGAAAGCATTTAATGGGGGCAGGCTTACAGCTTCAGAGGTTCGGTCCATTATCATCACGGCAGGGAGCATGGTGGCGTGCAGGCAGACGTGGTGCTGGAGAGAGAGCTGAGAGTCCCACATCCAAATCTGCAGGCAGTAAGAAAAGACTTTGGGCTCATCATGACCTTTTGAAACCTCAAAGTCAAACCCAGTGACACACTTACTTCAATAAGACCACACTTCCTAATCCTTTTCAAATAGTGCCACCCCCTGATGACTAAGCATTCAAATATATGAGCCTATGGGGGCCTTTCTTACTCAAACCACCACAGTAGAGTTACTTGGGAAGAGCTACCTCAGTTGAGAAAATGCTCCCACCAGACTGGTCTGTGGGAAGCCTGTGGAGCTTCTGTATTTTCTTTTCTTTTCTTTTATTTTACTCTACTTTATTTCACTTTATTTTTTGAGACAGGTTCTCTATGTAGTCCTGTCTGCCCTGGAAAATTCCCTATGTAGACCAGGTTGGCCTCAAACTCACAGAGATCTGCCTGCCTCTGCCTCCTGAGTGCTGAGATCAAAGTGTATGGCACTGGACCTGACTTGAAGCATTTTCTTGATTGACAGTTGGTGTGGAAGGGCCCAGCTCACTGTGGGCAAGGCCATCACTGGACGGATATTGTGAATGCTATCAGAAGGCAGGCTGAGTAAGCCATGAGGAGAAAGCTGTAAGCAACACCCTTCATGAGCTCTATATCAGTTCCTGCCTTGAGTTCAGGCAAGCCCTGACTTCCCTGGATAACTGACTGTAAGCTATAAGATAAAATTAACCCTTTCCTTCCCAAGTTGCTTTTGGTCCTAGTGTTTTGCCACATCAAATAGAAACCACACAAAGGTGGTTTTGTTTTCTTTCCTTGATTTCAATGCTGATTTTTATTACTTTCTTCTGTTTGTTCTGGGTTAAATTTGATCTCATTCCTCCAGCCCCCCTCTCTTAAGACAGGATCCCATGTACCTCAGGGTGGCCTAGAACTCACTATGGAAATGAAGCTGGCCTTGAATTTCTAATCCTTGGCTCCACTTGGCAAGCGCTGGGATGACAGGTGCCTCACTCACTTGCTCACACTCTCTTTTTTCCTGGCTCTGGGAAGAGCACAACTCAGCCTTGTCAAGAGCGCTCGCGTGTGCTGAGATTACAAGTGTGATCAAGAGTAGGTATGCCTATTGTATCTGTTACTTTTCTCAAGGCAGTGACCAAGTACCTAATAAAAGGAAAGGTTTAGGGCTGGAGAGATGGCTTAGAGGTTAACAGCACTGGCTGCTCTTCCAGAGGTCCTGAGTTCAATTCCCCGCAACCACATAGTGGCTCACAGCCATCTATAATGAGATCTAGCGCCCTCTTCTGGCCTGCAGTGCAGGCATGCAGGCAGAACACTGTATATATAATAAATAAATAGATAAATAAATAAATTAATTAAAAAAAAGAGGGCTAAAAAAAAGAGGAAAGGTTTAAGAAGGGCACAGTCCATGGCACAAGGAGGGTGCGGCAGCAGGCGTGAGGCCGCACTGAGTCTGCAGTTAGAAGGCAGAGTGAAGAATGTTTCACTGACCCTTCCCATCTGGTCAGACCATAGAGTATGTCACCTACATCCAGTGGGGCTCTGCTCACCCACTTAACACAAACTAGGGACGCACCAGGGGCTCCTCAGGTGAGTCTAGATCCTGCCGCTGTCACTGTGCTATTTGATTTTTTTTCTATTTTGACAGCTTAGATAATATGAGGTGGTTTTGTTTCATTTCTGTTTTCATTTGTTTTTTCCCTACCAATGATCAGAATATATATTAAAAGTCCATTTTCAATTTAAAAAAATAGAGAAAATAAATTAAGTCTCTTAGGTGAAACAGAGTTGTTGGTTTTTTTTCCCCATCCTTTCTTTTGCCATGGACATTTAAGGATTCTCTGGATTTGTCTTCTATTTATTCATCTGATGTTGGGAGGGGAAGGGATAGTTATCAGATAGAGTCTTCTGAGCTGACGTTCTGGGGTAAAGGAAGGTCAGCAACACATGTGGAACCTCCGGGAGTCACAGGCTGTCTTTAGTTCTTCAGAAGTCTTGGAGAGAGAAACACTCACCTAGACATAGTAGAATGTCAAGGGCAGTAGAGAAACAGGCAGCATTAAAAACCCCTTGAATGACAAGCCTGTGTCCTTCACCGCAGAAAACATGGGACACTCGGGTTAATGATACTCAGAAGGTCCCTGGAGTTCTGAGCCTTTTTATTTACTGAGTCCAGTAACCTATATGCATGCCCCTCTCCTGTTTTCCTGAGAGATTTCTACAATCCTTTTTTTAGTTCTTAATTCACATATTTTATGTACATGAGTATTCTATCTGCACATAGACCTACATGCCAGAAGAGGGCATCAGATCCTATTATATAGATGGTTGTGAGCCACCATGTGGTTGCTGGGAATTGAACTCAGGACGTCTGGAAGAGCAGCCAGTGAGTGCTCTTAACCTCTGAGTCATCTCTCCAGCCCTACAATTCTATTCTTCATGCCATAAGAAGCAAACGTAATGAATATTCTTGGGATGAAGAAGTAAAGAATGGAGTCTTTCTTCCCATTCTTACCAACACCAAGCTTTAACATACCCACCCCAGAGACGTGATATCAGCGTGGAAGGGAGTTATTTGGAGAACTAGGGTATAAGCAGATGACCTACAGCACTTGTCCAAGCAACAGACGCTTCAATACAATAAAGCTGGAGGATCATTTAGAGGGGAGACTGGGCTTTCCTAATGCAACACACAGACGAGGCAGCTGAAATGACATGAAGTTATTCCCTCACCATTCTAGGATCTAGAAGTCCAAGATCACAGCGCTGGCAGGATTAGTCTCTTCTGCGGTCTCTCCTTCACTTTCAGATGAACAACTCTCTTTCCTCTGTGCATGCATGTGACAGGTATGTCTGTCTATGTGTCCAACCTTCAGGTTGTATCATATCTTCATCACCTATTTTTAACCTAATCACTTTTTTTAAAGGCTCTGTTTCCAAACACAGTCATATTCTGAGGGTCTGTGGGTTAAGGTTTCAGCATATGAGTTTTGAGAGAGTACGATTTAGCCCACAATAAAGGGTGTTGTAGTAGTTTGAATGTAAATTGGCCCCCATAAGCTCATAGTGACTTTGCTGAAGTAGGTGTGATCTTGTTGAACAAAATGAGTCACTTGTGCAGGCTTTGAGGTCTCTTTTGCTAAAGCTTCGTTCAGTGTCACAGCCCATTTCTGATCAAGATGTAGCCAGCACCATGTCTGCCTGCATGCCACCATGCTCCACCACACAAGCCTATCCCCATGTGTTAGGAAGCTATGGTGTGGACAGGGAAAAATGAGTGCAGGGAGCTGTAGTTGGTCTAGACTAAGTCAGGGGCCCAGGCCAAACTTTCTAACACTGTAGACTCAGGGCAGGTGCAAAAGGAAAGAAACTGACTTTCAGTATAAACACTTGCCAGCTTGCAAGGAAAACCTAGAAAATGACTCATGGGTATCATGAACTTTAAAACATAGCCACCACACTAGCTCCCATCCACTCAGAGGAACAAGTCCTCTGCTTAGTTATGAAGACAATCATGGCTAGATTAGCATGTGAGCCTGTTAGCATTTAAGCATTACCTGGCCGGCCCCTTGGGAACCTTGCCAGTAAGCAGGCAATACCTTGGCCCACTCAGGGTCCTAACAACATCATCCTACATAGCCGGTTCCCTCTCTTTCTCTCCCCTTCCCTCCCCTCCCCCTCCTCTCTCTCTCTCTCTCTCTCTCTCTCTCTCTCTCTCTCTCTCTCTCTCTCTCTCTCTCTCCCCCCTGTGCCCCCTTTCTCTCTCTCCTCTCTCCCTTCCTTCCCCCAATAAAATCCTCTCTGTGAGTGCAGTCTGCACTTACACGTCTTTATCTCACCGGCTCTGTAGGGCCCCTTGGCTCCAACCCACCAAGGCCGCCTCCCACCATTTTTAAAATACAACAGAACCTAAAACTGTTCTGAAAGATAAAGCCTGTCTCTTTATTTCTTCTATTTTCATTTATGTGTATGTGCCCTATGAGTTTATATGAACCACATGTGTGCAAATGCCCTCAGAGCCCAGAAGAGGACCTCAGAACCCCTGGAAATGGCAATGTGAGCTGCCATGTGGGTACTGAGAACCAAACTTGGGGCCTCTGATAAAGCAGTAATTGCTTTTAACAGATGACCCATCATTCTATCTAGTCCTGTTTTGTTGTTGTTGTTGTTTGTTTGTTTGTTTTTTAGAATTATCTAGGTCTGTAAGACAAGGAAATGGGAAGATAATCGTAGAAGAGGTTCCTTCCCGCAATAGCTGGGACAAGGTGGCACACACCTTTTGCCCTGTACTTGAGAGGTGGAGGAAGGAGGATCAGGAGTTCAAAGCCACCAGGCAGTGGTGGCACACGTCTTAAATCCCGGCACTCGGGAGGCAGTGGCAGGTGAATCTCTGAGTTCAAGGCCAGTCTGGTCTACAGAGTGAGTTCCAGGACAGGCAGGAATATACAGAGAAACCCTGTCTCGAAAAAGAAAAAAAAAAAAAAGAGTTCAAAACCATCATTGGCTAAAAAGAAAGAAAAATCAATATGCCTAAAACTATTGACCGATCTGCAGAGCAACTGTACGGTTTGTTCCAGGCGTGACAGTGGCCAGCTCTACAGAACTAACCCTTCACTCGACTCCTTCCTCTCAGAATCCCGCCGTGAATCCTGGATCATCCGCCGGCAAGACTGCGCCAGCCACCCTTGTGACTCTTTCCCAAAAGCGTCCCTGGAATTTGACCCCCACTGTGGTTGTTGAAACTGAAGGCCCCCACGCATTCCCACTTGCTCCACGAAGTCTGAGTCAGTCTAAGGAGGCAGGAGAAGAGGAAGCAGCCCCTGGAGGGCAAGACTGGAAGCTGCCTTTCCTCCACCCTGAGAAAGTGCGAAGTGAAACGTGGCTAGAGGAAGCTCACCGTGAGGCGGAAGCAAAAGCAAGGCTCCTTTGCTCCCTTGGCCAAGGCCTCCTCTGAGCTACAGATCTCGGCAGGTCTGTGTTGGTGTAGGGAGCTGACGGACTCCGGGAGACGCGGCCACTGAGTGCTGCAATAGATGTGAGACTTATACAGAAAAGTAGGGCAAGAAGGAACGATCAGTGAGTCAGAAGAGGCAGGAAATGCTCGCTTCAGGAGGATAGTGAAAGCTGCCCGGAGTGCGGAAGGTCTGGACCAATGAGGCGACTGGCCTGTTGTCCGCCGTCCTTTGTGACCGGCCCTAAAAGGACACCACTGGCTGCACAACTTCTAATGAATAGAATTTTATTTGGTTCACGGTTCTGAAGTCAAGGGAGTCTCAGGTTCACGGGACACCACGTTCTGGTGAGGGCTGTCTTGCTTCATTTGTCCCAGGAGTGGAGCATGGGAGAGGGAAGCCTGTTTTTCTCATATGGAAGCCCTGGCAGGGGTTACTTCCGGGAAAGAATGAAAGAGAGGAGAGGCAGGACGAGGATGGGCGACAGGGCCATCTCGCTGGTTTGGCCTAGGTGGGACCCTATGCAGAAGCATCGAAGTGGACCGGCACGGAGGGGTTCCCCTCGCAGGCCACAATGATGTGCTTCTGCAGCTGGCTGGTTTTGTACTCGCAGTTGGGGTACTTGGAGCTGCCCGTCAGGCGGCAGTCGGTGATGTGCAGGGTGGAGAGGCTCTTGTAGCAGTTAGTCTGCCCGTTCTTGCATTTGACGTTTTCCTGGGAGCAGACGGCCTGGATGTCCTCTAGGGATTCATGCACGAAGGTGTTTACAGGCTTGCAGAAGTCCTTCGTCATTTCCCGCCTCTTCATCATTTGGTTGCAGTAGGTGGGGCTGCTGCCGGAGGAATCCGAGTCCACATGCTGTCGCTGGAACTTCATGGCAGAAGTTTCCTTGCCCAAGGAAGGCTGGACCCATCCAACCACCAGGACGAGCAATGGAAACAGGATGAGGGACTTCTCCAGACCCATGGCAGCTTTGTTGCTCGGAGGAGCCTGACAGGGAAAGGAGAGGAAAAAAAAAAAAGAACACACCCTCAGAAGAACTGCAGCACCCACCTCAGCCTCCCCAGCACCCCCCGACTCAGCCTCCCCAGCACAGTCCTCCATCTCAGCCTCCCCAGCACCCCCCACCTCAGCCTCCCCAGCACCCCCCCAACTCAGCCTCCCCAGCACCCCCCACCTCAGCCTCCCCAGGACAGTCCTTCACCTCAGCCTCCCAGGACAACTAAGTTCTGCAGGTGAGCCTGGAAGATTGCCCTCTGCTGAGATATCTTGAAAGTGCCGACACTGTTTTACTTCCTTGCTTACTGAAGAGAAGTCATTCTTTTCTCTAGGTGGTGGGCTGCGTCACCTAAATTCTTGGCAGTATGCTGAATACTGGAGTTTCTTTCATATAAAATACATTTGAAAAATAGAACACATTTATACAACAGTGTTCAAATGGCTCATCAGAAGGTCGGTTTGAATATGCCATGAGCCAAATCGTATTCCTCAGTCATTACTGACACCTAGGACTGTGGCTGATGGTTTCATTGTCTCACAGGACTGGGGAACTTGGTCCAGTGCCTGACCCTGGCATTATAGAGGGATTGAGCTGTATTCTAAAGACACATGCTCCCTTCCCCAGCCTGGGTGCTCTGTCCTTCCTGCCTCTCTAGTCAGTGCTTTGTACCTGACTGTGTCCTGCCTCCACCCCTGCCTCCAGCTGTTTGCCTGGCCCAGCTTTTCTGGAGTTAGTGTCAATCAAGAGTGACTGGCCTCTCAGTTCCAACTCTCAAGCGGAAATAGTCTCTGACGCCATCTCTAGGCCACTTACCTAAACTCTGAGTAAACTCCCGGGGCAAACTGGAAGCCAGCCTCTGCAGCCACTCAGTCCCTGTGGTGTGGGACTTATATGGAAGACAAGGGGGTTGGCTTCCAAGGAAAATGGGCGGAGTAAATCTTGGCCAATTTTACGTGAAGGATATAAACAAGGGCATTGTAAGCTTGGATGGGAAATGTCCGGGGCTGCCAAGGAAAGGGAGAACAGCATTTGAACCTCATGTGCTGATTCCCAGGGGGCAGCAGAGCAAGTCACTGGAACCATGGCAAACACATTCCTTCACAAAGCCGCATCACCTACGAGCATGTCGAGCATGTCGAGCATGTCGTTTGCACCAATTACAACCTGGAGGTTTAAAAGGTCACATAGCAATCCTGGGAATCACGGGAGAGGGAAGCCCTCCCCCTCTACAGTACTGAACCAAGTTGGTGGTAGCCAGAATTCTAGGTCTCCCCCACAGTGCCTTTCTTGGGAGGAAAGAGGGAATAAGAGGGCTGCTGCCTGTCCGCAGCTGGAAGGGTTCTAGTATTGGTGGAGTCAGTAGAGCCAAAGTCTGGGCTGTAGCAGTCTTACCAGGCCAGGCACAGCCACTCAACCTCAACAAATCAATTAAAGAGACAAGTAACAGCAAAGGCAGAGAAAGGCAATGTATTCAATGTGGTGAATTGGGAAAAAGGAACAAATAGAGTCCCGTGACCCCGAGTTCATCTTCAGGATCCTGGCATGAACTTTAGCCTTACATGGAGGACAAGAGGTATTCGTGAATAAGCAGTCCAGATCAAAGTGGGGTCCCTCCCATCACTGACCCATCATTGTCTTGGCTCCAGTCTCTACTGCAAAGTGGTCTGATAAGTTGTCAGAACTGTGTGAAATCTCTTTCCAGGAGACAACTCCCCCTCTGGCTAGCACAAGGGCCCACCCAGCCTTTTATCTCCCCAGCATGAGACTACTGGGGAAATTATTTTTCTTGTTGGTGGTGGTGGTGGTTTTTACAGGTTCAGCTTTTTATTAAACATGTTAACAAAAGAGGTTTAATTAAAAAGACCAAAGCCCAGGTCGTCACCAGACTCCCCGGATTCTTCTTTCTCTGCCCCCGCTTTCTCCTCGGTAGGGGCAGCGACAGTGGAAGGGGCCAGGCAGCCCCCATGTTGCAGGCGAGGCTTCCAGTGTTGACACTGGCCAGGGCCTTCACAAACAACCTGGGCCAGCAGGGGTCCCCACTGACACCAGCTGCTTTAACGAGGGCGTTGCTTACCTTCCTGTGTCCATCACCTCTTGCAGGATGAGAGCAGAGTGGATGCAGGCTAGCTCGGAGATGTAGACAGATGCCGACTGCCACCACAGTGCCAATCACTAGACGAAAGGAGAGCCTCACCCCAGGCTGCCTTAGCTTCCTCGAAGCCAAGCACCTTCGCAGCAGCTGAGGAAAGCCTGGAGAAATTCTAATTTGTTGGAGTCTGTACCAGATAGTTTTATGTCAGTTTGACACAGCTAAAGTTATCTGAAAAGAGGAAACCTCAATTGAGAAATTAAGATTTGGCCGAAGAGCATTTTCTTTATTAGTGATCAATGGCGGGAGAGCCCAGCCCTCTGTGGGTGGTGCTATCCCTGAGCTGGTGGTCCTGGGTTCTATAAGAAAGCAGGCTGAGCAAGCCATGATGGACAAGCCAGTAAGCAGCACCCCTCCATGGTCCCTGCATCAGCTCCTGTCTCCAGGTCCCTGCCCTGCTTGAGTTCCTGTCCTGACTTCCTGTGATGATGAACTGTGATGTGGAAGTGAAGTGTATTTTGTCATGGTGTTTCTTTGTAGCAGTAGTCACCCTAACTGAGACAGGGTCCATTGTCTCAATAGTCTGGTAGCCAACGAGAGGGGTCATCTGGAAGAAGGATATCTTCCAGAACAGTTATAGGAGGTTTGGAAAAGAAAGGGAAGAGTGCCTGAGCAGGGAGGGGGCCTCCAAGGCAAGCCCCGCTACTTCTGGCCACTTCCCACCATCTTCCACGTGTGGCCTGGAGTATTCAGGGTAGGAACAGAGCAGAACTGAAGTTAACCAAGGCCGCAAATGGTTTTGGAGAAAGCACAATGAAATGACTTGGGGGAGGTCAGGTTACCCTGACTGCGCACCTCCTCTCCCAGGGAGCCATATCCTGCCCTGTAAACAGAAGAGCCCAGAAATAGAAAAATTATAAGCCAGGACATTCTAGGGAGATGGGAGCTGACGGCCAGCAGCCACTGTGGACAAAGATTCCTTTAACAATAGCCCTCTGCCTTGCCTCCGACAACTACCATGGACCAAGATTAGCCTTTAACAGTTGCTTCTGCGTGACTCCCTGCCTTATAGTCCCTTAACCTTTAACTATTGCCTCTACATGACCTTCTGCCTTGCATCATCTTGCATTCTTTCCAGCCATGGGGAAAGCAGCTGTGTCAAGAAAGCTACAGGCTTTTGCAATTATCGTAAACTAACACTCTATAAGCAAAAATTGTAAATCTTAAAACGTAATGTGACTGAGACTAACCTCAAGATTGCAAAAAATATTCTCTTTGATCCACACCTGATGCTTAGTTTTCACTGTAAAGAGAGGCTCCAAACCTGACATCCCCCCCACCCCCACCCCGTTGTCACAGTGTGAGAAGCCTGAACTCTGCCTGTGGCGCCCCTGAGCTGGAAGTTTCTTTCTGCCCACGGTGTCTGGAATAAAGGTAGCTTCTGGTTAATATAGACTTCAGTGGTCTGTTCCCCATTGTTTGCATGTCCCCGGGACCCAACATAAACAAAGGGTCTCTTCTAATGCTTATAAGGTATACGGATCAAAGGGTTCCTCTTTCCCTGCTGGGAGGCGGTCCCTTGTAAACAAACAAGGAGGATCGAGCAGTGGGAGATGATTTCCTTAGCCTGGACCTGGTGGGATGCAGTGACCGCGCTTTAAAAACTGCGCACTTTGGGGCCCAGAGTCCTTTGTGGCAGAAGCCTGCTTTCTATTCTGATCTTGAACTGCTCCTGCTGCCTCCATCTCTGAGCAACTTACCACACCTCGTTTTACGTCGTGGTGCGATGGCCGGAAGCCAGAGCTTCATGCCTGCAAAGCAAACACGCTGTCAACTACCTTCCCAGTCGCAGAAGGAAAATTTCCTCAACCAAGAAACGTAAGATTGTTTTCATGTGTTGTCCAAATAAGATCAACATCCCTAGGATCTAGGAAGCCGCTGTGGAGGTGGGGGTGATGAAGACCTGACGTGGCACAAGCTTAGTCTTCGCGTTCCAGTAGTTTACGCACTTCTGCTAAGGAATCACGAGACTAAGACGAAGGACGCACGACTTAATTTGGTTGCAAAATAGATTTTTTCAAATTAGGAAATCACAGGCCAGTACTCCATTGGTTGGTGGGGAATAGACAGTCAGAGGAGAGAGGGGAAGATCTCATTGATTGGATAGCAAGAAAGGAAATTTCTTTGTCCCAGGGCAAATGATCATCATCACTCTCTACAGGTTACAGGCTTCTTTTGGCACCAGACATATAAACTGAGGATTTCAGTACCAGATGTATAAACTGAGGACATGACTGCTCTGAGGGATGGTTGAGGAAAAGGGTTTTGTTGTAGATAGGAGGAAAAGTACATCCAGAGGCATCTGGAAGAGTCCAGAGTAGAGAAAGTAGTAGACTGAACATGACCAGCAGACTGGACTGGACCGTGAGAGACAACCAAGAGAGAGGACAAAAGAGAGAGGGGCCAAGAGAGAAAGACCACAGGGAATGCACAGCCATAGTGGCGGGGTTATATGGGAATGAGAACTGGAAGTGAAGCCTATGAGCTGGAGAAGTTTAGGGTAAGGGGTGGGGTAAAAAGAATAGGGAGTTGTGATAGTGAGTGATCCTGGAGGCCAATGTGCCCTTTGATATGCTAATAGGCACCACAGGTAGCCATTTGTCTCTTTTGACAGCGATGATGAAATGACTTCTTTGGTAGAGGGGAACAGTCCCCAGAATTTGAACAAGCAGAGTTTCTTTTGGACCTGACTTTCTGCAGGAGGGATTTTGAGCTCTAGGCTGGTTTTTATGCATACCCATTTTTAAGAAGGGTGTATATGTGTATGTGTGTGCATGCACATGCACACATGAATACAGATGCCCATAAACTAGTCTCCTCTGTAAGTAGAAAGTGCT